CCAATTCCCTCTTGAAAAGCACCCTTGTGACAATCATGATCTGGATGATTGAGAATCTCCATAAACATACTGCTATTACTTCTATAACAGATTGCAGTGGGTTTTTTCCCCCAAAAGACCATAACAACAATGTAGTTTGGAAGTCCAATAGTTTCTCCCACCCCCTTTTGGGTAATTGTATATTTCTAGTAACTGGTAATTGATCATAATAAAATTATATAATACAATATTGTAAATTTCTTCTTATTTTATACGTGATAAAAGCTATATAGCTGAATAGCTGTGATAGCTGTATCTCATGGTTGGGAACTGAGTTCTAAGGAAAACAAGCTTGGAGCAGGGAATAGAAGGTCGTTGCTTTATGTAGTAAACTCCGTTGAAGGTAGAAAAATGCCATTTTTCATAGGTATTATGAAGTTTAATATGACTTTTTTAGGTAATAGTAAGTATGCACTCTTAATGTTCCATTTTTAAAAAAAATAATAGAGTTCCTGATACAATGAAAATGTCTGGAGGGATTCATTTTTCAATTATGTATACTAACAAAATGATCTAGCCAAAGTCCAACTTTTCAAAGGGATTCAGTGGTTTCAACAGAACAGTCAGATATAATAGGATGTTAAGCTTCCACAGCTTCCACTGACAAAACCATTCTTGTGTCACACCTTTGCAGCACATACTTGTGTTTAAACATCACAGACCATTATACCTAAGCAAACTAAAGGATACATTGATCAGAATGAATTTTCCTAAGGATTGTATAAAAGGCTGGCTTCAGGGGATCTGTACCGGATTGTTTGTGTGAATGTACATTTCCCCATTCTTTGGGGAAAGTTCTTCCTTATAGCATGAAAGCATTTTCACAAACAGCATGACTGGTATGCCACAGACAAAAGTCATCTTGACTTCCTGTAATCCCACTGTCATGCATTGAACTAACGTAGAACTATTTCTCATGCTAGCTCCTTTTCTCATTATTACCTTGGTGTTTTCTTTTAATTAAGCAGCTAAAGTGGCTTAAATATATTATATTCATTATATAATGATGGCCTCTTCTATTCTGTTCTTGTTCCCTCCTTCCCCAGCTTCCTCAGGCTCAAAAGGTAAACTATTTTCAGTCAATACTTGAAGAAATCACCAACTCCTCACGCTTCTACATCATGAAATTACTTTACAATGATGATCAGTGAAATGCTTAACAATGTCACCACTAATAAACTGGAGAGCATGACATTGTTTAAATTAGAGCAGGACTCTATGTATAGGCATATCACCCACTGAGTTACAATTGAGACACAACATGAGAGTAATTTAAACCAAATGGAGACAGGGTGGACTACTGCTTTGTACAAATAAAGGATGCATTTTGTTTTGACTTAGAAAAAAAATGGGTAGCCTTAATCTTTGGGACAACCATGACCTGGATGACTGAGAATCTCTACAGAATCTCTATGGACTGGTAGCTTTAATCTCACAGAGAAGTCATTCAAAGGTATTTATTCTAGGGAAACAAATGAACTATATACCCAGCTACATTCTTTCACTGGTCCCCATTGTATTGTCTTCTCAAAAGCCTTTGAGTGCATCTAACATACATGTTGTGCAGAAAAGTTTCCATGCAATGTGCTGGTATTATTAGTGTACAGCTTCTGCTTTGATATGGTCTGTTCCAGAGCTATCTCATAGCATTTCATGATCTCACAAATAATAATGGCGGCTGCTACAACATACTGTATCACTTGGTGCCCATTGCAATTTCATGTATAATTTGCAAATGTAATTGAGATAAAAGTATAACAACAAATGCCTTGAAGTGAAATGCCATCATATAATTAGGGACGCCATTTGTAGCTTCCAAGGATCTCCACTACGGTAATACAGTAATCTCTATTTTTAAACTTATTCTTGAAGGATCTGATTTCAGTTGTAGGAGTCTGAAGGCCTTCTGGTCTATGTGGCTAGCTTGATTTCTTTTTTCTCTATTTTTGAACTATAGCCTCTCACCCCACCCATTCTTCTCTCCTGATCTTGCTATCTCCTTTCAATAAATGTGGACAATAAAACACAGACACACACAAACACACTGTCTGGATGAATAGATTTAGCAGTAACATTTTTTTATGTTTAACCTAGACAGGAGCAAGAATGGTTTTATCTGGGTATTATTATTCCTTAAAGCATTTATAGTTAGGGAAGAGCCTTAATTTGATGGGAATTGTATTTAATAATGTTTAATATTTTCTTTACTGGCTGTTTTTCTTACAAATAGTTTCTGACTATTCTTCTCATTGTACAAAAAAGTAAATGTCTACTTTTTTACAGAGGAAACAGCCATGGCTGAGCAAATTTTAATGAAAAAACCCTATGTTACAGAGAATTATTCAGCATCTTATCACAGTCTCTTGAAAATTATGATCGCCTTTTAAACTAGCCTCTCTAAGTCATTTGCTATGAAACTGAATAGTTTCAAAGCAAAAGTTTGCTAAATATTCTGTTTCATGTTGCAAGTAAGATGTCTTTCGTGATCACAATTTTGAAATAGCTATTGTGGTAGACTTGAAGGATAACGTTCCTAAAGTTCTTGTGGTATTAAATCTTAGTACATATGATAGATGCAACATTGTCCGTTGTAATATTTGCACAAGAGTTTTATAGTTTTTAAGCATACTATCACAATTTCAGGAATTATGACTTAGAATTCTAAAAGCAAAGAGAGACAGCTATTTCCTACTTGACTCCCTTATGTTCAGTTCTTTAATGATCCAGCTAAATGCCAGCCTCACCACTAGAAAATCTGAAATAGGTTTTAAGGATAGATATGATCTCTTTTGCAAAATATTGTGAAAATATAACTATGCCTTCATTTTGCGAAATTATCTCCAAATCACTGAATACAATTTGTAGGCAGGGATATTCGTCACTTTTGTTAAGAAGAAAATAAAGAGCAGTATGAAAAATGAAATAAATTACAGCAGCATGGGCTTTCTTGCAATATCACAAAATATTAAGGGACTACAAGGTTTAATATGTTTGCCTCATCAGTCCCGTTTCTTTTCTTGGACTTGCTACAGTCTTTTACACTTCTAAAGATTTTTTGGCAATTATTTTCCATATTCTTTTTTTATTTTGCATCAGCCATTTTTAATTTTCAGCACATTCCTTGGGCTTAGAATATAATATTGATTCTAATCATCCTTAAGCTAGCTGCCACTCTTCCCTATGCTATATTCAAGAGCAGATAATTTGTGACCCTCCAGATACTAATGAATTTCAGCTCCCCAAAGCTCTCATCAGGGCCGTTACTAGAAGATTTAATGGAACCATATTTGAAGGGTCAGAGGCTTCCTTCTCTGCATTAACTAAACAAACAAAATGATTTTTTAGTATTAATATATGCACATTTTTGAAAGCACTAATATTTCTTCAGTGGATTAGCAAAAATATATTTCTTAATTAAGAATATATTTCTATGCATACTACTTAGAACTGCATCGAACTTCCATGGCTTTTACCATGGGCTTTGTACATTCTAATTTATCTCTGACAGTACAGCCATTCAATGCAAGATTCCTGTAAATATTCTTTGAACACTAAAATAAAAACCTTGCTAGGACTAATCTAGTACTATCGAATTGCACACTTAGTGTGGGCAAGATGAACAGCTTCTTTGGATCAAGAGTTAGAAAGTCCTCAGAAAGAAAGATTAGATTGAGCTACATTGTCACCATCAAATCTATTTCCAAGGAAAAGTAACTGTTGGGTATCTGTGATGAACATGATACAAAACCCAGAGTGGAAATGGTTGGTTGGATTGGAAGGCATTTTCTTCATTTTTAATCTTAAAAATATAACATTCAGATTTTTTCCCAACGAAGTGGACCTTGATGAGAGGCTTTCAAATCCACCTGGCATTTTGAAGAAGATCACTGCACAGGTTGATGCATTCTTTATGAATGACTGAGTCAACACAAGTGCATGTTTTTCCATATGGTGTCTGAGTATGTGCTGTATTTTATTTGGATATATAGCTGTGTTTCTCAATCTTGGGAACTTTAAGCTACGTAGACTTCAGCTCCCAGAATTCTCCAGCCAACCATGTTGTGATCCATTTTGCATATAACTAGTCATTATTGCAAGAAGCAGTTTTCTTTTTCTATTACTATTAGCCATAGTCACTGAAATTATCAGACTTACAATGAAAGAGAATGGTGGTTTTAAATAACTTATATTTTCTGACCTTTCATTTCTGTGTATTCATTCTGAAGAATATATTTAAATTTTCCATATTAAACTTTAGTTATGTATGTGATATGTATATAGTTGCATACATATCACAAACATACATTGCAATGATGAAATATTATTGCTTCTCAGAGGGAAGCAAGGCAAATTAAAAATACTGTATCATAAAATCATAAAATCAAATATAAAACCTGCAGTAAAATAACTGTAATGCTATGAAAATCCTGAAAACTAGCAATGTGTAAATCACCCAGGATCTGATTGTGATTAGTGAATTGATTCAAAGGGTTGATTCAATTTGAAGAGCCAAGTCTACAGTTTTTTATTTGAATTAATGGTAAGAAAAATATGTGTGTACATGTGCAAAAGTCCATTAAATCATAAAATTGGTTGCAAGCCACCTGATTTGATTTAATGCATTTAACTGATTCGGCTGTTTGATCTAAAGATTTTATTCAAAGCAGCAGTTCAGTCCCTTTGCCTTTGAACGGTTTTCACAATCCTACTAAAATGATTTCCCTTTTGTGTGTGGGGGGGGGGCACTCAGATTGTAGCCTGTCCTCAAAGATTTTTATTGGTACTTATTGTAGGATCTTTTATTCCTCAGATTAACTCAACTGGGGACAATCTACTGCAGACTGAATCATAATTAAAATTGTCAGCATTTCTGTGGCTATTCCCTTACTTGTTTGTTGCAAGGGCATTTGGAGATTATGACCTTGAGTTTAAAATACAGTCATTTATGGCTCTGCAGGTTAAAACCTGCATTTCAAATAAAATCCATTTGGAAATGGACAAACTGCTAGTGCAGATGACAAAACAGACACACACACACACACACACACACACACACAAACACACACAGTGATTAAAACAGACACCTAGCAGCCATATTATGGACTCAAGGGGGATTTTTAAAGGCAGAACCACATATCCCTTGACATGGCATGCCAGTCATCCAGATGGGAAATTTTCAGAACATAAATTGTTAAATAGTTGCCTTGGTTCGGGAACAGTCATTATACAACTAAAACTATCTTTCACAGCTCATCTTATAATAGAACTAGATCCAAAAAACATCCTCAGCTACATATCTGAAAGTTTATTAGAAGTTCACTACTTCAGAACAAAAACCACTACTTGGGAGGACAGTTGAACCTTTTACATTCAATTATTTTCATCTGGTTGGGATTGAATTGTTTTCAGCAATCTAGTTCTATTAT